TGTCCAGAGGGACCGTATCAGCTGTCCAGAGGGACCGTATCAGCTGTCCAGAGGGACCGTATCAGCTGTCCAGAGGGACCGTATCAGCTGTCCAGAGGGACCGTATCAGCTGTCCAGAGGGACCGTATCAGCTGTCCAGAGGGACCGTATCAGCTGTCCAGAGGGACCGTATCAGCTGTCCAGAGGGACCGTATCAGCTGTCCAGAGGGACCGTATCAGCTGCCCAGAAGGACCGTATCAGCTGTCCAGAGGGACCGTATCAGCTGTCCAGAGGGACCGTATCAGCTGTCCAGAGGGACCGTATCAGCTGTCCAGAGGGACCGTATCAGTTATTCGGGTTTTACGAGATCAGTTGCTATCCATATATCAAACGATCCGTCATACTCGTCGACTTGCACTAAGCTGTGTTAAGCCCTTTAGCTGGAACCCCATCTCTATCGATTCCAACGATTGCTTGCTTTAACTCACCACTATATCATATATTCTAGAGTACAAGAGTGTTGCCCAGAAATATAACTATACACGGCGATGTTAGCATTAATATGAGAAGTGCAAGGAAAGCCATGAAACTTGAAGGTTCGGATTCACAACTGCATCATCATCAGCGATACTCGATGGTTTCAAGAACGGAATTGAAAGATGCTGTTGATGTATCTCTCGTAGCACAAATAGACCTACTTCAGAGCTAGGACCCAGGCCTATGATACCCACTGAGGTATTTTCTTAAGGGAATACAGGGGCCCATTTCACAATCCTCGGTTAGGCACGAAAATCGTAAGGCGCTAGGCGATTTTTGCATCTAATAGTTCCGGTTAGGCTCTTTCCAAAGGCGGCAAATCGAGGCCTAAGGGTAAGGTGAAGGACCTTAAGTTATAGGGCCAATGTCTCTCTCTCTCTCTCTCTCTTGCGTAAAGGAAGCCCTTATCTAAGGTTAGGGATAGTCTACACGACCGATTGATGCATTCTATTATATCAAGTGTGGTGGAATCAGTAAGAAAATAGATATCTGTGAAACCGTTAAAATCCCCTAGACGATAAGCCAAGTCGTTTTGTGCACACTCAATTGGATATATGTTGTGACTTGTATATGTGTCCGATCTCCGCTTTGGTAGAAGACAAACGCTGAAGGTATGTTTTCGGGATTTATATCGTGGGAAGAACTATTCTCCGTAGAGTGTGGGAGAATATGCACATGTTCATGTTTAGTTTCATATACACTAAGTTGGATGTTATTGAAACTAACTGGACTGAATGATGACTTCCGTGATCCCCTATATGTGTTCAATTTCCATTTTGTGAGGAGACGAGACTTCTCACGCTTCAACTAAGTGGTGTATACTTTCGCAGTTTACATCGTGGGAAAACTTCGCCCTTTGCAGTGTGGGGGAAAATATGCAGTCAACTACATGTGTTGGCGACTATATGAAAATTCGGAGTAAATTTTCTATTGTTTTCTACCGGAATTCGTAAAGTAACTCCTAGGAATTTATAGGAGTTACCATTGAAATCATAGGCTATTACTATCGAGGAAACTTTTGTACTTAGTTGTGGACATATTCAACACTGCGAGCACAGGTGACGGTAGATAATATAATATTCAATTATATCAATAAACATTTCGATAGAGAATAATTATATTAACATACTGGTTCAAATGTATTACAGTCTTACTCATTTTACGTGAAGTGGCGACATTCGCGGTGATATGCAGTGGTCGTGAGATATGTTTTTTCACTGGTGTTTTTAACATCACGTGTGAAACTCCATTATATACATGTATTTATTACTACCCATGTTTTATAGTCAAATAATTTGTATTAATAAAATACCATATATTTTTTCGCATTGGGTAACTTAAATAGCAGTGATATTTGAGTGTATCTCCCATGATCTCCGAGGCTGATCATAACAACAACAACCATCCATCCGTGGAGTCAGTGAAGCCCACAAGAAAAAGCAAGCACTACTTATGAAAAATTTATGAGAAATTCTCATCAGGCCGTGCGAAAATCCAAAGCCTTATCACTGAAGAACATCAATTCGCAAACGGGAATATGTGCGAGGCGAGTGTAAGCACATGAGTCCTTTCACAGTGATGATGATGATGATGATGATGATGGCGCTGACAGGTGATGAAGGATTCTTACGGAGGAACTCACTTGGTCGGCGAGAAGTGTTCATATACATGGAAAAAGGGTGAAGTGAAGTAAGAAGCTTTTAAGAGTATCTTAGTTGGAATCATATTCATCTGACTCAAATAAGATCATATCGTTTCGAGATGTAATTCGTAGAAGCTCAAAAAAAGTTATGTTAATCAGCCCTGAACTTTTATCAATTTGATGATTATCTCGGCTTTTACTGTAATTTGATGATCATCATCTCGGCTTTTACTGTAATTTGGTCTTGGAACGGTATTAAAAGTGGCAGCCTGATTGATATTGATGAATGATACCCTCCGACGTACCAGTAACTCGTAAGAGTTTGATTTGAGATTGACGCCCTGATCAATGGGTTGGCACTGAAAAGATGTCATCGAACTTGTACACAGCATTCCTTCTTATCCAATGAAGTTGTTACCGGTGATATTGATTACTATTAATAGTGTTGATCATATTCACTTGTATATATCATTCTGGTCAGGTACGAAGGCTCTGTAGACACACTACAAGGGCAAACACCTTCTACTAAAGGATGTCTGAAGTGGTCGGACGGCTCTCAGTAAGCATTCGGAATAACACATCGCTATCAGTAGATCGCTGGATGAGTTAGATTTACCCAGTGTTAGAACAAATGTTTGCTTTTCCTCAGCTGAATTCAGAAATTTCCTCGTTAATTACAAAAGTTTACTTACAAATTCGGGTGTAAGTGTACAGAAACATTTGAGAATTTCCTTTTTTTTTCTCAGAATTTCCGCAAAATTCACCCACACATGTAGTTGACCATGTGCATATTCTCCCATACCACGTTTACCCTTTCACTAGTTATGTTGTTTTGTATACTCTTTCGACAGCCAAAGAGATACAACATATCCCTGTTATTATGAGAACTGTATGTGTCGCCACGCCTTGGTAGGCAAGGCTTGGTTAAATTAAACTCGCAAGCGGGTTGGTATTGCATTATTATTATTCTTGGTAATTCATTGAAACTATGCCTAACACATCTTTGGAGAAATATTTACATTCATGGACCCACTGAATGATCACACAAAACACGTCTAGCAATGTGCATTATAAGAAGGTATATGTTTATATATACTTTATAAACACTATACAGTATATACCAAATATATATTGTATAGTATTTATAAAGTGAGATAGTAAATATAAAAAAGTATATCATATACATTTATCACTATATGCACTTTATGTCTACTATATACTTATAAGCTTATATAATCGAATTTTATTTCCCTTTCCACGAGGTACATCGGTCAACTAGCGAACGGCTATCGTCATGGAGATGGACAATTCATTTCAAAGGATGGTGACCCTTTAGGGGCTCGATCAGCGTTGAGATATATATATTTCCTTTCGTCAGCTGAATTCACACACAACTTGTGAGAGAAGTACACAAAAAACCAATATTAATTTCCGCGAAATTTTCTTATTGTCATCAACTCCCGTAGTTGACCATGTGCGTATTTTCACACACCGTACATGTTATTAGATAAAGTTATCACTCAAACCATATCAAGGGGAGTTAGGAACCCTGCAAGAGAATTTATATATTGGAATTATTATTATCATACTCAACTTGGATGAATAATAATGGAATTTCACCATCCTAGTGATATAAAAAACCCTAGTGAATAACATATTTCACTACTACTGCATATCACCGCGAATGTCGCGTTTTTCACCGAGTTTTACACCACTTCACGTAAATCAGGTGGAAATCTAATGCTGTTAACCGGAGTGAATTATAACTCACTAAGTAAACTTAATGCTAAATACTGAATTCTCGAATTTTCCCCTGAAAGTATTTTGGAATTTGCAAGGATGAACAGAAAAACACTACTCGGTGCACCAAAAAAAATTAATTTTCGTTTTTTTACAAAAACATTTGCGAAGATTTCAGAACATTTGCGAGAATAAACAGAGAAATACTATTAGTGCATACGGAATCTTCAAGTCTCGAATTTCCCCGAGGAAAAAATAAGCTCCTCCTGGTGAAGCCACATAAACATCTAATGTCGAACATAATCATCATTATGAGTATAACTTGCCTCAGGAACACATTCTTACGAGGGGCAATGGGTGATAGGTAGAAGGCATGGCAAGGGGACTCTCAAGAAATGGACAGTTGATGACGAGGGAACTAGAACGGTGAGTTGTACAGTGTTTGGGTCACAATCACGAAAATGTTCGATTTGATATTATAACAATTCTAGTTATTTTACTGTGCGTGCGCTGTTCGTATGGAATCACATGACTCGAGGAAACAATTCGCATAGTAATGGCTATG